CTTATTGATGCACATTCTAAGTGGATTGACGTACATCCAGTTACTCAGGCGACAGCTGAATCCACCATCACTAAAATGCGCTCGTCCTTCGCTACGTTTGGCATTCCGGAAACCATTTATACAGACAATGGTTCGCCTTTTACCAGTGCCGAATTTGGTAAATTTGTCGCCAACAACGGAATCCAACACGTTAAATCAGCCCCGTATCACCCAGCATCAAACGGATTAGCGGAGCGTGCAGTACAAACTGTGAAACAAGGCTTACTAAAGCAGCGAACGGGAACATTGCGAACAAAACTGGATCGGTTGCTATTCTCCTACCGTTCTACACCCACTGAGGCTACCGGGAAATCCCCGGCGGAATTGATGTTCGGCAGAAATCTGAGAACGATGCTTCATTTGTTGTTCCCGAACCCGCGTGTTGAAGTACAGGAGCGTCAGAAAAAGTTTGTGTCTTCAGAGGAATCAAAGCCGGAAGTTACACTTCAGGACCATCAACCTGTTTACACCAGGTTACCGCATGAACAATGTTGGCAGCCGGCGACTGTGCTCGATTCTTCAGGAAGTCAAAACTATTTGCAGCTTCCGGACGGCCGGGTTGTTCGCCGGCACTCAGATCATGTACGCCCCAGGAGCACTGACACACCTGCCGTGAGTCAGTCACACTCGGAGATCGCAGAGCAAGCTGCAGAGCACGACGAACACAGAACAACAGGGGAAACTCAATTACGCCGATCGACCCGGATTCGCAAACCGATCGAACGTTTTCAGCCATGACTGTAACGTCAGCCAAAACAGGGAGGACTGTTACGTGTTCAACCAATGATCGCTCACTATGACCGTGAACCTGATTGGCCCTACACATACACGTAGATAAGCACGCACACACGCACTCAAGGACACCCTAACGTTCCGTGCTCACATGTAAACCGTTAAATGTTCAGTACACTGTGCGCCAGACTGACGCGTCTTCTTGCTTATCCGCTACGAGTTGAAATACGTACTTGCGGTTAGAGTCCAGTTGTGATACCACCGTTGACAGGAAAAATACGGGCTTTAGGGGTAATGGAGGGCCGGGTTGTTAAGGGTGAACCTAACTTCCGCCCGGATGCACTACTTCGTGTAGCAAGCGGTAATACGCTACTCTGAGGGTTGCTTCTTTTACTAGTCCATGGTGCTTCTGCTGCATTTGTAGGTCTACACGACGCACCCAAAAGAGGGGTGGTAGATGCCTTTGAACGATCAAAAGTATAAGCACGAGATATTACTCTACTGAAAATCACCTTGGATAAGTTAGGACTTTTTCGAATAGTACTGAGTTCTCAGACCAGTGCTTTTAAGGCGAGTTGCGCTGTAGAACTTAGTCTAACTGGTGCCGGATAAGTACGAATCGTTTTCGGCTCTGACCATATGAGGCTTTAAACTAGTTGCTTCACAGAAAGCTTTTACGGTATCTTGGAGGTCTGCGGAATCAGCGACATTGAATGCAAAGATACTGTGAACGCCTGATGTTCTGTTAGACAATGTGGGCTATATAGAGATATTATTAGGTGATCTTGTTTGAGTTAGCCTTGGAGAGATGGCTTTGGGCTGTATGCAAGTGGTTGTGGGTTTCTCAACAATACGATGTTTCTGAGGATCTACTAAAATTTGCTTTTGGGTGGCTAGATTTGTGGAACCATCATTTATATAGATTGATTTATGGGGTATCGCATAGTCGCCCCAAGTAATGACCTGGTTGTTAGCAGCGTATTAATTTGATAAGGTTCTACATCGCTGTGAGAATTCATCTGGGTGGAGGATAGTCTAGTAGACAGGTCTAGATCGACCTCATGAATGTTGGTGCTCAACGACTGTGTTACATGGTCTTTTTCAGATGGGCGCTGCGCTTCTTTTTGAAGACTGTTGCGCTTCGTTTTAGTAATCGAAAGCTGTACGGCATTTGATGCACCTCTTATCATTATTGCGGAGTCAATGAGTTCTACTGTACTAGTGGGTGGGAAACTATTTATATTTGTATTGAAGCATTTAGTTTGGTTGTTAGTACAAGATTTCTTTCGTTTGAAGGGTTTGTAGGTATCCTTATCACTTGGTTTGGCGTTTCAGCGCAGAGGGTAGCGATTTCGGTTCATGCTTCAGTTGTACTACTTTCGGAGCTATTGCAGAGCGGAGTTATTCCATATACGTTGACTTCGCTATGATTAGTATGCTTTATTTAAACGTTGCATTACCCGTGTTGGTATACAACTCAGGCAGACTGTCAGTAGTCGTGATAGTGACTATGCCGCTACCAGAATTTCGTAGGCCCTCTGAAGGTGTCAAAAGCTGATTTCGCTAAACTTCTCTTTGCAGGGGCGTTTTATCGGTCGTTATCCTTAGCGTTTTGAAGGCGGTGCTTTCTGCTATCTGCGCACCTTTTTTGATTAACTCGTTTGCTACCAATGGATCACTGAATTGGAAAAGCAAGGGGCAGTTTTTTCGCGCATCTTTCTTCCGGAGCCTTATACACTTGTACCAGCTGCCTTCCATAGCACCTGCCTTGAGCAGAATTTTTTGTAGTGAATCCACATGCATTTTATCGGGTTATTTGAATGCTATTGCATTTTTCGAACATTGCACTCTTTTAGACACTTCTGTTGCTGTAGTTTCAATGAAGACGCTGGCTGGTTTAAGGTGATCCATGTTTGGGTTTACCTTCGCTTGCAGCAGGATGGTCAGAGGTTCAAGTGTTTGGAGGGTTGTGTGCAAATAGTCAAAAGAAGCTAGTTTTAATTTGAGCCCATCCAGTTCATCTTGGATAGACTTGAATTTGGCAAGTGTGTCGGTCAACGGGTAAATCAGTTTATCCGATTTATTTCTCAGCCCAGGTGGCTTAGTGGATTTTGGCAAAATTGCGGCTTTAGCAGCTGCTGAATTTTTCTGCTTGACATTATATAAACGACGGTCATAGACGTTTGACGGTTAGGGAGTGATGCTAGCTGAGGAAAAATGTTATAGAAATTCTCTATGGAACCTAACCTGAACTATAGCAAATACTTCTAATACACTGTACTGAGGTAAAAAAGGACCCTTCTCAAATTGTTACTGCCTGGAGCGTTTAGATTCCGCGAAGTTATTCGCTTGGGGCACCGTCACTGGTCACGTGTGATATCTCGCATTTGGAAGTTGATAGGTGGGTTTGATTTCGCGGCTACATTTGTCGATAATATCCTCAGGTACGAATTCAACGAACTTGTCCAGACGTGCACCTGTTGGCAGATCGAGATGTTGGGTCCTGCAGAGTAGGGCTTAGAGTGAGGCAGTTGTCTACACACACACACACACACGCACACACACACACACAAAGTGAACGCAGGCGTGCACGGGTCAAGCAACTGGTCCTCTGGACTCGTCAGGCTAGCTGACGTACGCTAGGCACACAAAGAGTAAATCGACGATGAGTCTGTTATCGAACAACAGCGAGTGCGACAAAACACTTGGTGGGGTTGGATTGATAGCAGTAAGCTGGTGGCTGCAATGTGTGATATAGCGGCTTAACACGGTATTAGATGAGCACGAGTTTAGGCGAATTGTGTGGCCTTGAAAAAACTTCGAGTAAGAGTAAAATGCCCAACGGGAACTTGGAAGTGAAGTTTCGCGCTTGAATTCCTATGACAAGTCCGTCCAAATTGCTGAAAGTGAATATTATGTTCTATTTGTGGGGCTGTTAGATCCGAGTGGAATGAGTGTAGGCTCAATGATGAGCAGTAAGATAGTGGTGGATTACCCGAAAACTAGTCAGAAACGCTGATTTGGTCCGTTCGCGCGTCACCTTGCGTCAAGGTCAAGGACACTTCCTCTTTAGCACGCTTTATCGAGTGAATTAAAAGTCCTTTCATGCTACTTAAAATTCTGAAGACCATTGTGCCGTGTATAGACTGAGTCGTGGTAGGACTCATCGCTATTCCTTCTTCCTAATTCTGCATCACACCTCGTTTATATTCAAGCTGTACGCATTCATCGGCTTCACCAGTACCAGAACTCTTGACCACCAGCCACTACCTTATGCCACCGACACTGGTTGACTACCATAATTTACGAGCTAGCTGCGACATAGCCCGTCTTATGCTCCACTGCCATGCAAGTTACGAATCTGGCGGAGGACAGGGTTGTCTCTGAAAGATACGACTTCCACTGACAGTGGCATAAGCTGCTGGCTGGCGGTTTAAGTCGTTGGTCGTCGGAAGTTCGCATACTGATGGAACCGATGAATACCTATTACTGACGAGAGCCAACAAGTCGAAACGGCCTTCTGGCGCTTTTCCGAATATGCAGAAAACTAGATGATTTGGAAGTTGCTGAGATTTTCTTTCATTTAAATCAATTATAATCGATGCATCTGCTGAAATAATTAAAGTTCGTTAGTTATCGAAACGGCCCGTAGCCTGGGGAGGTAATTAAATGATCTGGCGTTCCTCTGGACCAAAGCGAATCGCGATAGGAAGAATATTGCTAAATCCATCGATTATTGGACACATCACCTCTGCAATTAGTTGGGCGCACGAAGGCGAGAGTCAACTCTTACAACTTGACAAATTACGACTTATGATAAGTGTCCAATCTAAGTGCACAACTGGATCCGAGGGGAGAAGCAGCCAATCAGACGAGAACTTAACAAACTGGCTCTTTGAATGCATAAAGCATACTCGTTCCTTCACACGGCTCCACAGAAGCGTGTCCCTGGACCAGTCTTTCCTCGGATTGGGCAACGACACAGAGAATAGGCACGTGGGCCGAATGCTATGGTGTCACCAGCGTTTAGAACCAGTTGTTTATATCATTTCCGTTGATGGTTTCACCCATTGGCTTGTATTCGACTCTTATGCACCTGGTGTACTTGTTTAGGTTGTGTTCTACCACGTAGTTCCATTTTTGCGGCGTTTTTGTGCAGCAATTCTTTCTTGACATACTTTTGCCTTATCGATTCATCTCCACGATTTCTATGTTCTCCATACACACAGGCTCTTCCTTTCCACGTATGGCTCGAACGACATGCGGACACCGATCTGGTCAGTAACTGTGATCCGTCTTCGATGGGATGTAAACCGGAACTCATCGGTATTGCCTCCGTGGATTTAACATCGCTCTCAGGCTTATTTAGTTCCGTTGGCCCAGGTGGTTACGCCCCAAATGGGACTGTCTCGGGCGGATTGGATCAGGTCTACGGATGGTACAATGTAGTAAACAGCTGCGGTACGCATTGTGGACAGATCTTGTTGGGTGTGAGGCCGCTTATTCCGGGCCTGAAGTCCGCCACATCCCTGTCCCGTTTTGGAAGCACCGAATTGCTGGATTTGGACCGCCAACCGGTATGTTTTGGTTTTTGCTGTGGCTCGATAGTACAGGGGTATTCAGTTGCGTACTACATCTGCTCACAATAAGTTTGTATACCATTCAGTTACAATCCATTCAACAAAGGCTTCTAATCAAGCTTAGCGTTTTGTTATAGTAACCGGCGTTGCTTTTTTCCTCCTGCGGACGCATAAATTGTTTCATCCTCTACTCAGGCTGATGTGATGGCCAAACTTCGGTGGCCTCGTTTGGATTCTTCATTCGAATGACCGTACTGCGGTGCATAACAGAAGGTAAAGCAGTCGGCGTTTATAAAATGACGCCGAAGCGATAGGGGGCTTGGCAGTTCAGCTCTCTGGTCTAGTGAGTGGGCAATGTAGTCCTTCATACGACCCATTGTGATCCGTGGTGGGTTGTTGCAATTGCATACAAATCTAATACCGTTGAATCTACCGCCATTTTGGTGCACTCTAAGGAGTGCCCATGGAAATATTTACAGATGGTATGGATACAAAGCTGGACGCTCCGTCATATTTTTTACCTAGTCCAATTTCCCTCCGTTTATTCAGATAGAGCGGTTGTGCGACCAGCATAAATTATGTAATACCGCAGCGTCGATGTGTCGACAACAACCCGAGGTAGTTTAGTTAGAACCGTCGAGGCAGGTTTATAATATTGGTCCGTCGTAGTGGGAACTACCGGAGATTATTTCGCATCAAACAGAGAGAGGTGGACAGTTGATCCTCATTGCGGATCAGTTATATTAAGGTACAAATGTTCGTTTCATTGAACGGTTCGGAAAATTCACTCTATTACCATCGTTTCTTTATTCGCATATATATATATATATATATATATATATATATATATATGGTTGGCGGCATCCGGTTTCGGATTTGCCTGTCACTGTGGCAAGCCACAGGACGCCTGCGCCTACAGAGGGACCATGGATGGCTTGCGCTGCACCACCCACAGCTCCAACCACACACCCCATATCCAGTGTAAACCCGAAGGAATAAGACCGGGAGGCATGCGGATGGGAACCACGTTTCATCAACGGAGCCGGCCCACACTCCTTCACAGGCAAACACAAGCACACTGTATTTGGGAATCAAGCGCACACAAGGCGGTGGCTGGACCGTAGTCCGCTCCACACTGACTGCATGGAACCACTCTTTGATCCTAACACGGCCACAAGGACCGTGCACCCTGTCCCCTGCAGCAACGACCAACTGTCTCCTGGAGCCAGTATGGACGAGGTAGTGGGTAATAGACAGGTAGGCACCTTGTCAACATGCACATCAAGCGCATCCACACCGGGGATATCAAACAACAGCCAAACACTTGAGAGAGAAAGAGAAAGAAAAAGAGAAAAACTCGATTAATGCATAAGGAAACGGTGATATAAACCTTAATTAAATAGCATATGTAATAAGTTGTTTACAAACAAATCCTAGCTAAGTGCACGAGGTCAGGAAATATAGTTCACGGAATGCCACGAACACAAATATGCTACGGAAATCGAATACAATTGGCTTAGGCGAGGTGTGCAAGTTAATGGAATAGAGTACTGGTAGACATTTATATGAGAAAGAAAAGCATTAAGGTAAAAATTGTAAACCCACCACCTGAAATAAAGAGACTTAGCATGCAAGCATGCGGTTAGTAAATCGAATTCAGCGTGCCTACAAACGCTGCGCCGGTGCTGCCTACGTTCACTGCTGGACCCGTCGGCGCTTCGGCAGTGGTCCCGAGTGACCTCTCTCATGGCTCACTAGGCCTGCCTGACTAAGGCACTCGCGACCGCATGTTCTACAGCACCATGCGCTCGATGTCTATGGAGTACAATTCATTGGTGCTTGCCGCTTCCGCGCTTGTCGCTTCTTCTCTGCATGCATGAGGGCTTTCTCCCGCACTTCAGCAACTGCCTTCGTGATTAGATCGCGCCATGAACCACGATCAACCGCCTTCGATTCCCATGATCTGCAATCAAGATTAGAACGTGTGAGGCTCACTTTGATCATGTCCTGGTAACGTAACTTTGGTTTCCCCACGTGCCGCTTCCCAATACTCAGCTGACCGTATAAAAGTTGTTTCGGTGTCCGCGTCAAATCCATACGGCTCACATGACCGAGCCATCTCAGGTGTCGCAGTAAAAGTATGCCGTCCACTGCATACATCCCACTTCGGCGCAACACTTCCGTGTCTGCGACTCTGGCGCCCCAACCAATGCGCAAAATTCGTCGCAGACACTGCTGATGGAACCGCTCGAGATATCGCACATCCCGACGGTACATCGTCCACGTTTCACTGCCGTATAGAAGAACGGACAGTACCATGGATTTGTACACCATCAGCTTCGTGCCAATGGTAAGCTCATGGTTGTTCCACACTCGGTACTCAAGCTTCCCGAATGCCGCTGCTGCCTTCGACACGCGATTACGCAACTCAGCGTGTAGCTGTTGATCAGTCGATATCACACTCCCAAGGTAGCAGAAGCGGGAGGTGGTTTCCAATACTTCAGCACCAATACTGCTTCGCGGCAATATTGAAGATTGCACCTCCGGTGAAGGCTGAAAGAGACAGACAGTTTTGCTTGTGTTGATGGTGAGCCCGAATTTGGCCGCTGTCGAAGCCAGAGCACTAGTCATGTGCTTCAACTCATCCGCGCTGTGTGAAAACAACGCACAGTCGTCAGCAAACAGCAACATACGGATAGTTGTCTCACAGACTAGGATTCTCGCTCCGAAAGAACGGATGTTCAGCAACCCACCATCAATACGGTGCCCCACACGAACACCGTAAGCACAAGCCGCATCAAAAGCACAAGACAACATTGCATGAAGATAGATATTAAACAGGGCAGGAGCTAAGACACAGCCTTGCTTCACACCAGAGACAACTGCAAAGTCATCCGAGGTCTCTCCACTCAGCTGCACCCTCGCTCGCATACCACTGTGCAGACATTCAATTAAACTTACAAACTTACGCGGGCAACCAAACTTACCCAACACCAGCCACAATGCCTCGCGGTTCACCGTATCAAATGCCTTGGTGAAATCAACAAAAAGCGAGTACAATGGCTGGTGTCGTTCTCTGCACTTCTCCTGCAACTGACGAGCTGCAAACACCATATCTATAGTGCTGCGACCCGAACGGAATCCACATTGCTCTTCCGCCACGTTAGGTTCCACAACCTGACTCACGAGGCGATTGAGCAGGATTCGGGCAATCACCTTGCCCACACAACTCAGCAAGTTGATGCCACGATAATTCGTGCAACATTGCTTGCTACCTTTGCCCTTGTACAGTGGTAGCACAAGGGCATCCTTCAGCCCAGCAGGCACCTCCTCCTCAATCCATACGCGTTGCACCAAGTGGTGCAGCGCAGTCAACAACGCGGGTCCACCGTGTTTCAATACTTCAGGTGGGATCCTTTCACCTCCGGCACATTTGCCGTTTCGCAGCTGAGCAAGTGCTCTCTGCGTCTCATCCAGTGTCGGCGTATCCGCCAGATCCGCCTTCACATCGTGCTGCTTCAGGCCGTTCAATGTAGGCCAGTCGATCTCTGAACGGTTGTTCAAGAGACAGTCAAGTGTTTCCGCCAGATCTGCATTATGTCTGCAGTCTGGGTGCAGGTAGCGCCTGAACTACCATCGATCAGTGTCCTCAGCGGCTCCAATCTCGGACCATACACCGCCTTCAAGGAGTCAAAGAATTCCTTGTGTTGACGGCGTTCGGCGTAGCATCCCATCTGCTTCGCCTTCTCCGTCCACCATGCATTTTTAATGCGACGGAGCTCTCGGGTCAGTCGCCGTCGAAGTTTGCGAAACTGACTACTCTTCCCCAAGTCACTGGGGTCTGCCACATGTGCAGCAAATGCTGCATTCTTCTCTGACACCAATGCGCCAATCGTCACATTGTTGTCATCAAACCAATCAGGCCGCTTACAGTTTGCGCGCCCGATGGTCTCCTCGGCAGCAGCTGTCACCTGGTGGCGAATGTGGTGCCACAGGTCGCCAACTGTGGCTATGCAGTCCACATCACCACACAGGCGTGCAGCCATCGCCTTCTCCAGCTCAGTACGTTTCGCCACAGTACCGAGGGAGAGAATGTTAAATTTACGCCGATTCACGGCGGGAGTGCAATACCTCGATTTACGAAAATATATGTACAGTTTGGTCCGAACCAATTTGTGATCAGTGCCGCACTCAGCTCCACGCAGTACACGTGTCATGCGCACTTCACGCATATCACGCTGACGTACGATGACATAGTCGAGCAGGTGAGCGTGACCACTCCGTGGGTGCGTCCAAGTTGCTATATCACTCGCACTCAGTGCAAACCGAGTGTTCGTGATCGTCAGGCCGTGAGTGGCACATAGTGAGAGCAGCCTGTCAGCGTTCGCATTCGCTGAACCAATGCCATGCGAACCGATAACATCTGTCCACGCTGATGCATCACGCCCAACGCGCGCGTTGAAATCACCCAGCAGAAATAGTCGGTCGCTCCTCTGCACAGACCGTATCACGGAGGATAGCTCAGTGTAGAACTGATCACGCGTGTCATCAGGATAACACGTGGTCGGACCGTACGTGCTTATAAAAGTAGCAAACTTACCTCTTCCGAGTCGTAGGCGAACAGTCATCAGTCGCGCGCTGATGCCCGTTGGTTCACCCACCAGGTGGCCATGGAGGCGATCGGATATTGCAAATCCGACCCCATGTTCACGTGGTGCTGAGGCGGCGTTCCCCACCCAGTAGAATGTGTAGCCAGCACCTGCTTCATGTAACTTACCTTGCTCAGCGAGCCGAGTTTCACTGAGCGCCGCAATATCGATGTGGTAGCGCGCCAGCTCCATTGCGACCAGTGCAGTGCGTCGCTCCGGGCGCTCGCTGGAGTTCCGGTCCAGTAGTGTGCGCACGTTCCAGCACCCCATGTTGAGTGCTTTGCGCGCAGGCATACGATTGCATTGGTGGGAAATCGCACGCGAGATGGTCGTTGTGCTTCGGAGGTTTGCTTGAGGGACTCCACCCGGAGCCTTTGGATCAATAGCCTGACCCACAAGGCAGTGGGTGGTTTGGAGGTTTGCTTGAGGGACTCCGCCCGGAGCCTTTGGCTCAATAGCCTGACCCACAAGGCAGTGGAGAGCAGATCCAGCTCGGGAATGTGATTGCAGAGACAGATTGGGATCTGCTTGACGGCCGTCACACGCAGCCTTTGAGGTTCTGGAACAATTATCATATGTTTTGCGACCGTAATTGGATACGCACCTGCGATCACGGCCAGACGCAGGTGGGTTTTTGGCGGGTTTGCACCAATTTGACCAGGGGCTGCCTGGCTTGAGGCGGGCAGTAGCAAACTATTGAACACCCGGAGGTGTCCTCCCACCGTCAGAGACAATGCGTGGCACTCGTGCTCTACGCCAGTCGAGCATTGAGAATATCACCCATAACCTGTTGTCTCCCATGGCTAGGTTTTACGGGAAGTGGGCCATCGACCACTTCCTAACCTCCGGAGAGGATGGACTAGGATACTGCCAGGGCGCCCAATCCTGACAGGAGAACGACTCGGGTCCTCAGCCAAAGCCTTCGATCAAATGAACACCCGAAAGGCAGCGGGTCTAGCACATGGTCAGTTAGCTGACTCATGCGGATTGGTGTCCTGGATCTTAGCAGGGAGAAGGACGAAACCTAGCTCCCACCCAGCGGTCGCCACGAGGAGGCGCCCAGGACATGAGAATATGGCGCAACAGTAGCAGCAGTGGGTAGACCATCTGTCAGGATCTAGCCACCACCAGCTTCAGCGCACCATAGGCTCTCCCGCCGTATATATATAAGCCTATGAATAGACAAAGAGCCATCAGTTCTGTTATCACAAAAAGAAAACCGTAAACAACACAGCGAAATCCATGGTTTCGTCAGAGGGCGAGATACTACACGGTTGCCCAAGCATAGGCCCATTTGGTGTCTACAATTGACGAGCTGCGACGTGACTGGTGATGTTGAAGCTCAACGAGAAACCTGACCCGGATGATTACCATAATCCACCAGTGAAAAGTGGCGAAAATTCGGTTGTGCTCGATCTAGACCCCTTGTTCCATATCAAGTGGCGTTGTCACCATGCGTCAGCAATGCTTCAAACGTAAGGATGATTAGTCATGCACAGTTTCTGAATGTCGTTTGCACCAGCGGTCGAAATCTCCAAACTGCAATTTGGAACCGCCTACATCATAATGTTGTAGGACAGGGTTTTTGGCGCGATACCTAGGTCACACCGGTGCCAGAGGTTGGCAAATGCTTTAGGGATTTAAACATACGTGATGCAGTTTCATTCGCTAAGTCATTAACATAAAGACGTTTCTAAACTGAACAGTTTTTTCGACCACTTCCAACAAGTCGGACTAGCTTCTAACCAGTTTTGCAAGGTAGGCCTTGTACTTTGATGGACTGATGGCAACCTAAGCAGTAACTTTTGAGTGGTCTGCGAAAAACCGCATTCTATAGGATTATCCTCAGTCTAAGCCAAGTTACGAACTCGAGCATCATGAAGCGTCTCAACGCTACTAATCACACGGTTCCCTGTAGTGGTCTGCATGAAAAAGTTGCATACGAAGAGTTATGACGGGGCTCGTTAGGGACCACGCGCGTTTTATCAGCTCCTGACTGTTGCGATACGGGCGTTTTCTAATGATCCCCACAGGTAGCATTTGGAAAAAGTGCATTCCGGGTTTGGGCCTAGCCGGTGACTTGATCGTGGTCCATTCGGTACTGAGACCACTCTTCGAGCCTGGCATTGTCATACAGCTGCACACTCCCGTTTCCCCCAGCAACGGCTAACAATTTCTTTGAACTAGTGATCGAAGTGGGCACATTGTCAGCATTCACATCACGCACAGATCTTAAGGGAAACACCCGAATTACGCGACAACGCGCGTTCGGTCACCAAGCTATTGCTCGGCTGAAACGGCAAGGTGTATCGTACGCTGCGTCACCCTCATCACCAGCAGCTGTATAGCGGTCGTCGCCCCACTGTTCTCCTAGATGTTAGTACAATCTGGTATCTGGCGTCCGCCCCATCGGTTTTAAAATTGCTGATCAGTGATTTTGAGAAGGTTAGCTGCTTCGTTTCGTTGGGAATGCATACACTGCCATGAGTCAAATTATGAGCATAGTAAGATCCACCCGAAGCTTGAGCGAAGTAAATAAACTTAGTTATTTGATAAGTACAAACATAGTTTGAATTTGTGTGTTCCGCACAGCCAGTGAAGCCATTTTTCGGCTTTGCGAACATCTTAGGATGATTGTTCACAACAGCTCATTTACTGCCTACCGTCTTGACAGGCATTAAACGGTACCCACTACAATTAGTTCAGCGAGTTTTTCACCCCAAGTGTACCTTCGATATGTTGCCTCTCAAACACTTATTAGGTACAAGTCGACACGACATTGTGCGCCACTGGACTTCGCTTCTGGCGACAGATCATTGTAGGCTTCCCTTATTGATTTGTTCCCCTTCCGACGGTAAATGTCAACGGAGCGTCTTTGTTGGTCCCATAAATCAGGTAATCAGTCTCGAAAGTGTTTAGCGAAGCTGTTGACTGCCTTTTCACCTCAAAAAGTACTGTGACAACTGTCGTCAACTCAAAAGGCGCCTTCTCGCTTATGAATAATTGGATGATGATATTGTACGGACTTTAACCAACTAGAGCCTAGTAATCTAAGTGGGATATAGCGCAATCCATCTTCTACTGCCATGCAGGTTGCCAACCCTTCAAAAGGAGGATAGGCCGCGCTATATCCTAGTTAGCTTGCGAGTTGCGACGGTCTGCGTTAGTCCCCTTTGGCTGTGGCATAAGCTGCTGGCTACTTGGAGCAAGCTGCTAGCGGTCATGGGATCGGTTCCCTGCAGGTGACAGAGTGAATGCGCACCATTGACGAGCCCTAGTCGAGCGAAACGATCTGCTAGTGCTTTTCCGGATTGGTAGGTAGATAGTCGCGCTTGTGAGTTGCTAGGAGGAACCAGAAAATTTTCGTACTCATCAGTAACTAGAGCCTTATCCCCCCTGAAGCGCAACTCTTTACTAGTTGGCGACCTTCGCCATCGAGAATATCCTACCTGTTTGGTTCTCTGCATTTCAGTTTCAGTCCGATGTACCGATCGATGGCAGATTCACGTGTTCATCCCCGTTATCGCGTATGCGGCGTATACTATCTTCTGGTCCATCCACAAATATGCCTGGTGAAAGTACTCACTCTGTGCCAGATCTGAATGCTGCCGGGTTGATCACACAGGACGCGACCACGTCCGGCTTCGGCACAGACTTAGAAATTTCGTCACTGTTTCACAATTTACGGTAAGTTGTTCCTTCACGAGGCGTGCATCCTACGCGCTGTGCACGTTTGACTAATGCTCTGACCGCGTTGTGTGAATGGTCATCCCTATGATTTTATGTGGCCGTGGTCGATACGACTTTCATCATTTTTACAGCGGTTACATTCACAAATCTCTCATCTAAAGCCCTGGAGCTATTTGTGACAATGTTGTGGAGTAACTACCTCACGAGGTAGAATTAGCGGCTGTACACAACAATCCCTTGCTTATACGCCATCGTCGTGCTTCATTGAGCACCACCGAAAAACGTATGACGATCATCCACTTTCGTGCATTTCCATCGCCAATTCGGTCATTTTGACATTTTGCGCATTAACAATTACCAATATGGCTATTTCCCCTCCGTCTTTCATGTTTGAAGGCCCGCTTGGTTTTGAATGTGTTGCTTCTGTTTTCAATGTGTGAATATAGGTTCCCTTTTATTCACACTCGGATATTTATTCCAGTGTTGAATCGAACGACTTATTTTGTCTTTCGTGACCATTTCTGTTTCACTCTCAGAACTCAGTTGAACGAGTTAGACAATATCAACAGTAAATTCAGGCAGAGACTCACACAAGGCACAAATCTGTACTGTCCAGTCACTGCGGCTGGACAAGACTCCACTTTTGCAAAAGCCCAAGTTCCGTTGGGGTCCAGTTCACCGCCTGGTCAGCAGGCATCAGCAGGTGACAATTCGAAGATATTGCTAGTCGACTGCCAGACATCCGATGAATTGGGACAACCAGCCAGGTTGATCAGTAAACCGGGAAAAGGATGTAAAGCTTCCGGCCCTTTGCCTTCTGGACATGAAACCTCCGTAGGCTGTGTTGCTTCGGATAACATCGCCGCCAATGAAGTCATGGTCCCGTTGCAAAAATCAAATTCAGCTTGTCCACTCCAACTGGAGTTGGCTGAAGAAGGCACACTTGACCAAGTCAGTAAGTATCTTATCGACGAACAATGTTCGGGTAGAGAGGATTGTTTAGCATTCGCTAACGTACACATTCTGCATGCAAATTTGCACACCTGCGTCCAGGTTGTTATGAACTGCTTAGATTGGTTATCTCCGGTGTGGCTGCGCTTGATGTGCGTGTTGACAAGGTGCCTACCCGTTTATTACCCACCACCTCGCCTATACTGGTTCCAGGAGACAGTTATTCGTTGCTGGAGGGGACGGGGTGCACGGTCCTCGTGACCATGCTAGGCTCAAAGAGTGGTTCTATTTATCCAGTGTGGAACGGGCTACGGCCCAGCCACCGCCTTGTGTACGTTTAATACGTATGATTCCCCAATTAGGCATGTATGCTTCTGCTCTGCTTGTTGAAGGAATGTGGGCCGGCTCCGTTGATGTAACATGGCTCCCGGTCTTATTCCTTCGGGTTTACGCTGGATATTAGGCTGTATGGACGGAGCTGTGGGTGGTGCAGCGCAATCCACCTATGGTCCCTCTGTAGGCACAGACGTCCTGTGACTGTCCTATGGAGGTCACGATGACAGGCAAATCCGGAACCGGATTCCGCCAGGCAGGTTGGTTATCATGAATGACCGGTGTTCTGTTTCCTCAACTCGGGGCCGTGTACCGTCTGTCGGTAAATATACAAATTTATTTATTTATTTATTTAGTAGTTCCACAGGATTTAAGAACCAACGTGCATGCAATCCATAGAGTACTTGTTGAGGGTGACAACCCGACCCCACCCTATTTCAGCTGGTTTCCTCGTGAGCAAGGCACTTTTCCAAAATGTCTATTTGTCTCTCTATCCGAATTGAGGTGCAGACGGCTATTTTCCCATACAATCGGGTGCATTACTCTCCAGTGTTCTTCGCGCACACTGTTTACAACCAACGGTCACAAAGAATATCAAGCATTTGGCCTCAGTCTTCTGAATGAGCCTTCTCGTACGATGCTCCTCTCATCGCGTTTCTTCCCCATTGTCACAGTAATGTCGCGGTCAGCTGTTTATGCGTAGTTTTTTCGTCCTTGCTTCACATCAACCTTAGGTTGCTTGATCGGAATCCACAAATTTGATTAGTTCCGTCGCGACTCAAGTAGTTCCACCGTTTAGGGGACCTATTCGAGATAGTTTTCACATAGACTTTGAATTGCGGCAAAGCGAACTTGCGAATCCGAATGCACAAGCGATCCCCTCTGCCTTTTGTACAAGTTTTGCTTGAAAAATTTATGTATGGTCAGCATCTAGATTTTGTCGACAACGCGACTCTTATTGCCTCCGGGATTAGTAATGTCGCTTGGTAATCCTATTCACTAACCCATTTCCTTACTCGCGTGCCCATTGGTTGGTGCGAGCCATTTTATACATGTGAGCGTTTGCTGCCCGCATGAAACAGTTTACTTTCTAGGGCCCCTCTGAGATGCAGTGAACTGACAAAGCTCGATAGCTATCGTCAGAACCGGCTTCCGTCCGGACTGACTGACGTGCATTTGGGCAGCTTTGTGGGGCTTATTGGCTTTCAGAATACAAGCCAACAAATAGCGCTCACTACGCGTTCTGTACCCTCAATGCCATGTTATAATGGCCCTGGAGAACAATCGAGTACTCTTGAAAGATACGGTTCTCGGCTAAGTACGCGCATCCGAAGTCGCATCGCTAGATATAGATCGATATGACTGTCTTCTTATATTTGTACAACAGGTTTGATGTTGGTGTGTGGGAACAGCTAGTTGTTGAAGCAATTTATACTATGGTAGGGAGTTGTTGATAATTCACTCTGTTAACTTGATAGCAATCGTTGAGTGCCTCATACCTATCCATATTTATGGCCTGGTCATATTCATAACTTCCTTCAAAATGTCTCAGTTTCGCCAGAGGTCGGTGAAAGATGTCCGACTATTACATCTGTGGACTGCTCCGATCACTTGCCGTGTTTGGATTTGTCCGTGTGCTCGGATGCTGGGACTCACTCGATCAACCTAGATGAATCGCAACACAGCCTTCCATTTGAAGAAAATGATCGATTATCTCAGCAAACAAGTAGGTTACTTGCATCTCCTTGCTCTCCAAGGCCCGAACGTGGCGACAGTGAACTGCAGTTTGAATTCAGCCCCGTAGAGGAAAGGGATCAACATAGCAGTAGCGAAATATGCGATGTATCTCCGCTATTGGTCAGATCTGAAATGGAACCTGAAGATGCAGTCACGATGCGCTGTGAACTATCTGCGGAGTTGTCCAGTCGATCGAGTAAAGAGACCCTTCGAGAAAATGCGGTTGGGGAAGTTCTGGATGGCGAACAAGATGCTGCGCAGAACGAAGATATCACGTGGTCCTTCCCTGGAAATCCCACCCGGGTTTTGGAAAAACCAGCTGGAGGCGTCGAGTTGGATGAGCCGTTGGACCGCTCTTCACCAACCTCTAGGTTAGAGTGGGTGATCGTTTTGATGCAAATCCCATTTTCAACCATTGTGAACTAAAATGTAGGGTTATCTATGGCTGATCGGAATAAAGCGATTATCCACCACCACATGGGACGGTGTTGGCGAGTTTCTTTTAATATAGCCGTGATCCCTTGAATCAGTAGTGAAACGGTCAGGTTGTGGCTGGTCTCGTCTTTTAGGTAAACACCCCAACTTACTGCAGACTTATCGATTGCTTTGCCAAACACCCATATGCATTGCAGACCACTCACGTGTGCAAACGCACAGCTATCTGCAATCTCTACACTAAAGGATGCCGTGGTAAAACACCCCGCGTATCTGCACAACATATCTAGCCATATTATCTACGGCTTCATTGGGATGCTCGATTCACTCAAAGTAGGCAGGTTTGACAGGAACAGTTTAGGGATCACCCAGGCAGATCAGGGTAGTCGAGTAGAAGTCGGGTAAATAACCCAACTTCTTTTTATGCTCCCCATTTCACACTCCCGCGGTCTCCATGATTGACTGTTGTGGCCCCCGAATCAATTCGATTGGTCGATCAATAGGATATGACTTTCAGCACCAGTTTAATGGCGCCTCATAGCAATTTCACGGTCCACTGATACTCCACCATCTCATCGTTACGCCCTTGGACTGGACGCTTTGGCTCCGAGATAGTTCCATCCCGGATTTATGAGGGTCGCAGGTCTTGTTACCAAAGAATTTCGTCGCCGCCAAACCGGTTTTTCTGGTTTGAATTTCAAATTGTGCACGCTTTACGATGATGCCAGATTTCCTTGATTATTCGGACGCTCTGTTTAACTTGCATATTACAATCAGTCTTGTGCTCAATACCGAAAAGGCTTATTTCTCCATATTCCAGAGGGCTCAACGGCTTTTTGGGCATCCGGTTTCCGATGCACTGGTAAATGGTAGTGCCGCAAGCCGAGGCTCCCAAATTATGCACGGCGGTGGAAATCCTATTTTATTGGAACTGGATATCCACGGAGTAATTCGGCGATAACATGGCACAAGCTTCTCCTGGTAGGTCTGCTTGATCGCAAGCTGAGACAGCTTCTCAGTCACCACTAAATGGATTCGCTTGTGGCGCTTCCTGGGTAGGTTTCAAGTAGATCGGCGGTAGGCTGATTCATGGTCAAACTCGGTGTGCATCCAAATCAGCAGACATGTGCAATCAATGGCGAGAGCATACGCGTGGAGCAGTTATATCGATGGCCGCGTGGGGATAGAGAATTCTAGTTTCGGAGACGAGGCACGCGTCAAGACAGAGGTATCCAGTGCGTGTAAGATACTGAATACTGTGTTATAGAGCAAGTAGAAATGAATTCTGTACAACTCCTTCGAAATATGGTGAAAAACGTTATAAAAATTGTCAGCCGTGAATATCGTTATCGTTCTCATGTAACATTTAAAATATCTGACTCACGGTGTTGCAGGACTCACAAATGTGACATGTCATCGTAAGTGTGCAATCGTTCTCTGAATCGAATAGTGGTAAAATATAAATCTAACAAGGTTTTGAACTGCTGCACAGATGTTGCCTCCATCACATGTTCAGGTAAACTGTTCCGAATGTTTACCACTCTCCGTTCGAAACACAGTGGGGGGGGGGAACACGTTTCACATCCGGCAAGACAAGTTTGTATCTGTGTCCGCGTGTGATGCATGGCCCTCGTAAGTGCAGCATTGGCCTCAGCATGGGGAAGTCACCGGGATGTAGAATACGGTAGATCATAATGAGGTCGGTAGAACAAGGTGTAGAGTCCTAGTTTCTCGCACCGGTCTCCATACTCCAAGCCACGTAAACACGGGATGAGCCTGGTAGCAACGTGTTGGACCCGTTCGATCTTTTGTGCCCCGCCTCGGGTAATCGGAAAGTGGGCGGGCGAACCGTACTCTAGCATTGGTCTAGTGATGGAAGATAACAGGCGAGTGGCAACCTATTCAGACCATGTGCCGAAGCTACGTTTGAGCACCCAAAACATGCGCAGTCCGCTACGATATAGCCTCTTCGTGTTGTCCACGGACTTCAAATCGTAGCGCCCGAGTACACCTAGGTCCTTCACGGAGGGTGTGGGGTATAGCGGTTGGCCATCAAGGGTGTAGGTTCGGCCGTCAGCACCCTTCCCCAGGCTCATAAATACAGACTTGGCTGGGTTGACCTGGAGATGAACTTCTGCAGACCATGTGGATAGGCGGTTGAGGTCTTGCTGAAGTACCCCACAGTCGTCGGGAGCGTCAATTTCTCTCCAAATCTTCATGTCGTCCGCAAACAAGGCACATGGCGACCGGAGAAGCTGAGGTAGATCGTTGATGTGGATCAGGAACAGAGTGGACCGAAACACAGTGCCCTGAGGCACGCCACTTGTAGAGGGATACCAGTCAGTTAGATGGTCGTCGACCTGTACCCTCCACTTTCGTTCAACAAGAAAGTCGCGGATCCACCGGTGCAGTGAGCCACCGACATCACACATCCTGAGTTTGTGAAGGAGAACCTCATGGCTGATCTTGTCGAACGCTTTACTGAAATCGATGAATATCACGTCGACAGACTTCCCCTTGCTTATTGCCTTCAACCACTCATGCCTCTTCACAATCAAGTTCATAATGCATGAGCGGCCTTGCATAAATCCGTGCTGTGCAGGCGTCAGGACCTCGTTTGACTGTAGCAACTGCAGCAATCCCTTCTTCACGATTTTCTCAGCAACCATTGCCAAAATAGGTGTCAGACAAATTGGCATGTAGTTGTCTACTTTGCTAGGGTCGCCGCCTTTCAGAATAGGCTTCACCACCGAACATTTCTAGTCAATCGGCAACGAACCTACGGACAGCGACCTGTTGAAAAGGTCAGTCACGACAGGAGAGATGATGGTCGAAAGTGACTTGAGAATCAGTGGATGAAGCCCATCAGATCCGGCAGGTTTGGTGCCGTCAAGGTCGGCGAGTAGTTGACATACCTCTTCAACGCCGCAATCCAGAATGTCGAGTTCGGTAAAAGTGGTACACGTCGAACTCGGAACAGACACCTGGTCATTTGCAAATACAGAAGCGAATTGCGCCGTCAACACGGACACACGCTCAGTGCTGGAGGTTAGGAGCTGTACGTCCGGACAATCCAACACTGGCACATCACCTGCCGGCTTCAGGCGTCGCTTCACGTAAGCAAAGATTCTATTTGGGGCGGTCTTCGCGGCTATTGCGAGCTGCTCTTCGAAATGTCGGCGCTTCTACTTTTTTGCACTGTTGCAGAGGTTCCGCTGACTTTTATACTCTTCGTACTTATTGACAGAGCCAGAGAGGAGGAATCGGTCCCACAGTCTGCGCCGCTTCCGAGCCAGATTTCCATACACCTTGTCAAACCAATGAGACTTAATCGGTCCAAACTTCCGACATTTCAAGGGCAAAATTGGGAACACAATGATGTCAATCTCTCTTTTATAAATATCCAACAGTCTTCCACAGATGCAGCTTGTGACAGAGACCAATCCAGTTGGCTCGCGGCTCGAGCTAGACCATCGAAATATGTTTTCTAGTAGTTGTGAGCTGGTTCCAAAGGAGGTGAACACGGCAAAGATAATTCGATATCAGCTATGAGCCCTGAGTGGTCGCTTGTAGCCAGGAGCTCCAGGATCCGAACGTCACGCACTCGTTGTTCGTAGCTCGTTAACATCAGGTCTAGACAGGATGGGGTTGAGCGTGGTGTTATACGTGTTGGCTGGCGTATGTGTTGCGATGCACCAGTTTCAAATACCAAATCCACAAACCTTGCTTCAACCTCACTATGTTCAGGCATCAAATTCACATCAGGCCATGGTATTCGAGGGCAGTTAAAATCGTCCAGAAGTAGAAAGTGTGGACGACTCATGTGGGTTCGAAGAATGGGCAGCCAATCCAAACAACGACTCAGGGGGCTGCGATAAACTGCGCCCACAAGCAGTTCTCCGCGCCTGAGGCGGATGGAGCACCACAGTAGCTCACACAAACCATCGTCACTTCGGTAGGTGTTCACAAGTCTCCCACACAGTGAAGACCGGATGTAAAGTAAGACACTACCGCGGGCATTCTTTAGTCTATCGCATCGGAAGCACGAGTAACCGTTGAGTTCAAGTTTCTTGGTGTATAACTCTGCATGCAGCCATGTCTTTGGGAGTCCCACTACATCTGGCCACTCAGACGCAACGGAACTACAAAGCTCATCGCGCTTATTCATAATACTGCAAACGTTTGTGAAGGCTACTCGCAGGCCGCAGCAGGAGCCGCCGGGCGTGTGAGTAGCCTGTTTATTCTGATTCGCAGATTGTTGGAAACCACCCGAAAATTTACGATACGAAGATTTGTTCCCCCCTCACCAGTACCTTTTTTCAGCTCCATGATGGCAGACTTTAGCCGCTCCCTGTCTACTGGGTCCAGGTCTGGACGAACATGGATCTTCAAACCTTTCAGCCTACTTAGGCGGGACATGATCAGTCTTGGACTGGCTTCGTCCACAAAAGTGATTCTCATAGGCCGATTTTGTTGATCGCCTTGCCTTCCAAGACGGGTAGTTTGTCTCACTTTTATCGAGTCCTCACCAGCGTCGAGGAGTCTGTCAATTAGACTCTGTAAAACTCGACATCGTGATCGTAGCGCATTTGGGGTGATGGATCACTGGACTCCGGCGCGTGGAAGATCACGAGATTATAACGCCTCTGGTCGGACGAGGTTGAACTTGCAGGGCGAAGTATACTACCAGCCTCACGTGGTTTGGCTATCTGTTGACTTACAGAAGTTAAACGTCCAACATCCCTTCGTAATTTCGTTCTTTGTTCTTTCCACTGGTCTTCAGCACTCAGACTTTCACCATATGTTTTAAGAGACGAAGGTTGAACGCCTTTGTAGCAGTTTAATGATGAAAGCCCACACATGAGTTGCGCGTCGCGATATACCCACACGAGGTATGTCAACACGGAAACCCCACACAGATAAATGTTCACACGGAAATATTGCAACAGTCTGTACATCTATCCGGTTTGCCTAACTACAACGTGGGAAATTTTAATCAAAATCACTTTATCGTACACTTAGGTGATTGATGCGGAAGGTTTACCTTTTGTTGAAGTCGTTTGACCCAAGGAACTTTGCCTGCATCTATTGCGAAAAGCGAAGCCCATGTCGTCATAACTCGGTTGTTCTTTTGCTTTCTTCATTACTCCATTGAGAACAATACAACAAGAAAAAGCAATGTATGTTGCAGTTAACTTTTCACTGCGCGTATTCTCGTCAACCGTTTACACACAACTCGTGGAATATTCGGTTATACAGAGATAATCAAAGTGCAGTGTCATTGGCCAAACACGGGCGATCAAAGGTCATTTGGTGCTGTCCACCGTCCCGCTCAGCAGGACGCGATCATCAAGACAAGGCAAGGCTAGCCACGAACTCGGTCCGTGTACACAAAGTGGGTTTGGGCTGTCGATTCGCACAGGCTTCGGCAAACTGTAGTAGGCAAACAGTGCTCTGTCTGAGTACTCTAAACGAATCACACTGATTTTGGCACTTGGGGCAGCCACTATGTGCAATGTTATCGAAGTAGGAGGCAGCTTGGGCAGTATCGTAACACTCTGTGACTGCAAGATGTTTCCGCAGCTATTGGAGAGGCAAAGGTCAAGTCTGGTATTTTGGTAGTACCACAAATAAAGAATATTGTACATTGTGACGAATTTGAGTGTGATCATTTATCTGTGTGGGCGTTTTTCTCTGTGGGCATTCATATCAGTAGGTTTTTACTGTGCACACTTTTCATGTGGGCTTTCTTCCGGTAACTCACCATAACAATGAGTAGCATGATTACATCAAGAAGTTTTCGTTGGTGAGACCACTGGATGGTATGGTGCCATAGGTGTAAACGACAGTAATTCGGTAGCACTGTGGTTGCTGTCACTTGGGATGGGCACCATTGAAGGAGAATTTGTAGTAGGGATAGGAAAGGGTTAAGGAAAAACACGGGGAATCTAGAGGGGAGGCATCGGCAGCCGCTGATTTTCGTTTATCCACCCTACTACATGCAATGGATAACGCTACCATTTTAAAATAGCATGACTGCTGGCTTTAAAATGAGGCTAAATTCGATAAAACCATGGTTGTACGTAGGCCTATATATCACCAGGTCACCTATGGATAAAAATGATCAGTGTCATCAATCAAAGCCTTTAGCTCAGAAACTTAGCGTGTGTTGTAGCGCATAAAGCGCATTGTTGACTTGACTTGAGTATGGCGGAAATGAGCGTCTTTTCATATCGAACGCCTACTCAGAGAAATCAGGCGACTGATCAAGCTGGTAGAGGTATCACTTGAGGCACTGGAGGCTTTCATCGGTCGTTATTTTGCATTAAGGTGCATTTTTGCTGAGACATTGAATCACATGGTATTTGGGGTACTTGCGAGCTGACTTCATCTCCTAATGCACTTAGGCCCAATAGGAACCAAATATTTCTACAAAGTATTCTCCTTCATGAGTGAAAAGGTGTCTCTTCCACTCTCACTCTCTCGTGTCCCTTCATTTGCGTTGACTGTGGATATTCCCCATTTCAGATCGGCCTCCCATTCCCAATTATTGATGCCGAAATCACCCCCTATAAATGAAAAGGCCACCGAACCAGCAGCGCAGGTTGACAACTCGTCATTCGCATTGGTACCAGACTTTTTTCCTCCACCTTCTGCATTTTCTAAGACAGTGTTTGGTAGCGAGACGAAATCAGATGCCTCCGACTCACTAACTGCTCGTCTGATGCAACTGCGTTCCGGCTTGCGTGAAACCATGGAGTCGATGGCGCCCCAGACCTCATCCACACTATCGTCACACAAAGACCAGGTGAGAATGGCCTGCTTGTCCAGATGTTGCGGCCAACCTAGTCAGTGCGCACTTAATGACACGTTCTATTCCGTACTTAGTATCCATTCACCGTGAAGAAAACAAGGTTTGCGGCTATGAATTGTTTTCTGTTCTCTACCATGATAACCTTCAAAAGTACTGCCATGCTCTTGAAGATATCGTCCGTGATAAAAACTGTTAACATCTAGGCTTCTCATCTTTGATATGTACAATGTAATGGGAACACTTATCACCACGGCGTCCGAGACCTATCAGTTACTAGACCAAATTCCAGCTAGTGGGCAAAGACAACCGGTACCATGATAGCACCTATTGCTGTTCGGTTGCATGAAGCGAGTTCTTCACCGTCTTTGCATTTTCATACCGGCCTGTGGAAAGAGTGCGGATCTAGACCTTTTAGCACTGTGCGTTACCGACCACGTAGAACTATAGTGTATCCTTGGACAAGTCAACAGGAACCATTTGGTTTGCTTGAACCAATTGTTTTTCATTTGATCTGATAAACACTAAGGTGCACGCCAACTCTGTGTAAATACTGACGGCATGAGGTTCGACTATAAAGTAATTCTTGCTTCTTATGCCGAGGATCGTCGTATCCGCACGTAGTTCCATATTACTGTTGGTTAACTGGGTGTGTATTTTGAGCGAGAACGGCAACAGATCGCGCCTCGATCTCAGCTCACTAGAGTATACAGATACGTCGATGGTTAACTGCTAAGGGCTCAGTTGGCACAGATCAACGTTTTGAGAGCGAACCAACCCTCAAATTCACAGTAGAACAGATAGGCTGTTCAGTTGAAATTTCCATGCCTTTCGTTAAGACTGACTGCATGGTCGACAGCCACAACAGGTCGAGTAGGCATCGAAAACTGATATTTGTCTGAGTGACCATAACTTCCATGTGGGCTGTTTCAGGCACCATCACCCGAAATTGCCAGTCGAAACGACTGCAAACGGCTTTGAACGGAGAGAACGGCAGGTGTCTTTGGTGGATAGGTTGAACATATCAAATGGCTTGGTCGATGACGCTTATCCATCCCCGTCCGTAAACATAAAACAACGTATCGATGTGGATCTGTACGTGTTCGTGCACTGATCTAGCGATTTATATTGTTCACCACTGAATACCATGGGATTATCCGTATTCCTTGTCGATGCATGATGCCGGTAGGCACTTGGTGTGGGACACTTCGGTAGGGCACAGATGTCATTTGCGGACGCGTGCTACAGACATACGCCATTGCCTCGCGAACGTTATTGGTACACACAGAGTAAGCGTCTTTTCCCATCCGCGTTGAACGAACTCATTATGCCCGTCGAACCACACTGGATGATCGAGTCATTCGACTCTCAACAGTTCTGATGCCACGTTGGAAAAAGACATCTCATTTCAAAGCTTGGCAACACAGCATTACAGAGTAGAAAGCTAAAACAGCATCATCAAATATGAAAAATTTTATAGATGAAGAAACAAAATGGGAAAAGATTGCACGGATGTCACTCTAGTCAACAGTCCCGTACCTTCGAGCAAATGTCGCATTTTGATGGAGAGAATCATAAGGATTTTTGTCCGATTGACGAGACCAGCTTTTGTTACGTTGCTTGACAGCCGATTTCATGTTGATGAAATTAACATACCATGAATTGTGCGCAGTTTCTCGGAGAATCTTTTCAAAGAACCAGCGGAGTTAGACGGCGTCAGTGACCTTGGAAACTATACAGCCAAAAAAGTTGTCAAAATATTCGTATAGAATTGTTATGTTCACAGCAAATATTGCAGGAAACGATGGTTCGGGGAACACGGCAGTGGCCAATTTAAAGGTATCTGTGATCTTTTGCACATAAATGAGACAAAACACACTGTCGGATGAATCATCCCGGTCATTGCTCCCAGGGCATGTTTTACAACGTTCGGTATACTGGACGCATGCTGTTCACAGAGCCAACATATGTCAGACTTCCAAGTAGAACGTTACTTTTGCTCTTGTGTTTTGGGCATCAGCTGAGTATAGCGTAAACCAATGGCAACTTGATGTGTACTACAGCCCTTTAGTAAGCCGTTTAGAATTTTCTCGTGTTAATGCACAAGTTTATATGCCGAAACCACTTTAACATAGTCCGCTTAAGAATAATTCGGAAGGATGATGTTCAAAAAGTAATCAACACATGACAGTTGCAATCAGAGAATACTTTGCATGCAAGTAAGTGGTGTGTGTTGCGTCGCGTTGATGCAACACGGAGGTCTTAATCCACCCCTTCCTCGCATTTTCCATAGTTCTGACCATTAGGTTGGCCTTATCAGCACGCATTCACATGCAAAATGTACGCAGTGATACGAGAATCGACTCGTTCACTTTGTGCGCTCTGAACAAAACATATTAGATTAGCTGCGTGCAAACTACCGACTCGGTTGATGCGCTTACTCACCGCGCATTTTCGTAAGCGAAGGACCAATTTTATATACACGCGATTCAATGAAAGCTGTATGTTTTTACCTTGATAGTGACGAGGAGCGAACTTGGGTGATCAAGATTACCCACCGTCACAGACACAATACTATGAAAATATTTTGCACTGCAGTGTGGTGCGGCTACGGCGTCAGATCTCACCCGTACATGTGATCAGTCAAAATCAGTCTCGATTCTCTCTGTTCACCGGTAGGATTTATTAATTACACCTTCACTTGTCATCGTTGCATTTTTTCCCAAACGGTAATTATCTTCAAGGTTTCATTCGACATGCACTACGTTAACCTTGCGTCCATCCGCCCACTTCTCATTCACAGTTCGAGGTGCTGCGCCACAGAGTGGATGCTCGAATCGCAGGAGTATTGGATAGAATGGACAAAGGAGCAAATTTAAGCTCGGGCGCGAAGCCAAATGATCCGCTACTTTCTGTGCTCAACGGGCTTCGTCCGAGGAGTCTGCAGGTCGCTGAGCGAGCGTTCTCTTGGGAAGAACCCAAGTGACATTTCTGTATCTCCTACTTTTTACTTGTTTGATCATCTAAATCTGTATACTACCATCACAGTGTTATTTACTCTCCGGGATGGTGGCTTGGTTTAACAACACTCTTCCGGTACATTCTGGAAGCGCTGCTCCAAGCTTCGCCTAGTAGGTGTGGAGAGGGTGATTAAAATGACCGAAGCGGTCGAATAATATTAGCTTTGGAGATTAGCATGGTCAGCAAAGTGGAGCAGTGAAATTAGTGTTTTTCGGCATCCACTTGACAGTGTCGAAGGCGTCGATGGACATCTCTCAGTGTGTATGTTAGGGGAACCTGTTTTTTCCTTAACTCGCAGTTACAAATTGTCGTTTGAGTCCGAATTCAGTTTAAGTTCCAGCTCGCGACCTTCGTTTGATGCATTTGGGTTGAGTGACCTTCCAAATTGGATTGGTTCTTCGCGCGTTTACAGAGGTTAGAGGATTTTCGTTTAGCCCAGCCGTCCACCAACGATCCGAGCACTTGAATGTGCTGATCAGTCGAGGTAACTCGTATCGCCAAAATAATAACAATCTACAGCAACTGGAGAAAAAGAAGCGATAGCGGACAAAGAGAAGGAACATGCATACGCCCATATAAAAATTTGAAGGAATAAAGGGAAATGGTTTAATCATTGGACTGCAGGAGTTACGACCGCGATTGGGCCCTATTTTGTAGAGCATAAGACATCACAGAAAGGTAACATGCGCTAGCCAGACCGAGTTTATTTCAGCCAATTTCTCATATATTTTCAGCGATCAGTCTGAGGTTTCGCTTGTCATGTGTAGTATTAACAGACAATACGACCCTGGGTGGGCATTCGAAGACTCCAATCTAGTCATAGTAGAATTGCAAATCCAACAGACGGCCCAGTGCAGCACCACATTAATACTCGTCTGGATGCTCCCATGATCTAGCACAACTTTGCAATATTCGACGGTCAAGCAAATCCAGCGTATTCAACACGCAACAGCCATCCTGGGTTCATGCATCAGTAATTTGCGCCGTGCTTTTAGTCGACGGGAGGATGTCTCATTGCCTTCATAAGTGGTTTGAAAAATTTACAGTAGCTGGCACTCTGATCCCCAGAAGTGATGTGGCTAATTGGCAGCGTAAACTGACAATGATATGAAACAGGTACCTGCTGGGTTAGCTCTGCACTGGGGACTTGTGCGCCCCACAGTAAGCAACCGTTCTTATAGGCTTAGTTCAGCCATACTATTACGGAAAAGTATGAGTTCTTTGGGTGTATTATCTGACCGCCTGACTAGAACGTAGCGTTTCACCAGCGCTAAAATGGAGTCTATTGGTTTCCTGACGTATGTCCGTTGACGTGACTGGTGAATCATTGAAATGCTGAACCAGGCTTATGAGCTCTTGCGGAGTGATAGACTACCTCCAGCCCTCTTCAAATTCAGATGAACTGCTCTTGTAGATGATCCGCACAAAGTGGGAAGCTGTGGGAGCAAGAAACTGTCCCAGCAGACTGGAGCCGCTCCGTAATAGTCCAAATTTTCAAGGAGACTCACGTTCTGAATGCGTCAATCATATAGGGATCAGTCTGTCCTCAATTACCTCTAAGATACTCGCCTCTGTCGTTTTTCATAAACTTGCTGGCACCTGTGAAAGCTAGGTTTGTGAGGAGCAAGCCAGATTTCGCCGAAATTACGGCTACATTGAGCACGTCTTCACATTAAGTCAATCGTTGGAGCACGACCATGTTTATCGGCGACCCACTGCAGTCGATGGTATATTGCGGAGAAAAAAACCGAAGCTTGACATGTCCCGCCGGATGATCGGTTAGAGGTGAGCAAAATGAAGGCAAAAATAGCAATAGGAAATAGTGAACAACCGCAAATTGCGAACTTGCCGGTTACAGTGTTCCCGTCTGAGCAATTCACACTTGGTTTTATGTATTACCCAAGGTTATCGTCAGTGGTTTCCAACCGAAATTGGAGGTGGGTCGATTTGTTTTTGTTTTTCTGCTGTTTGTATGGGACGTTTGGATTACGTGATATGGTGTAGTACGGCCAGTGCACCGTCGACATGTGGTTTGAACACGGTTAACGTGGGATTTGAAATAACAGCTTCTGAGAGGGTATTCCACGTGTGGTAAACACGTAGCGGGAAGAAGTTTCTTAGACACTCCAACCGGCTGTATTGTTCTGCCAATTTGAGATGATGACCACTCAGTTTGTTGTTGTGGCTCAGCTTCAACAATTGATGGTACGGGTGATTAGTGTTGTTTAAAATTTGGCAAACCGTGATCAGGTCACCACACAAACGTCGATAAAGTCCGCTGAAAATGCCTAACACTCTGAGGCGCTATATGATAAGTGACTCAGCACCTTGACATTCTGGTCGCCCGACGTTGCGGAATCTCCAAGGCCATGAGATCCCGCTTTAGCGATAGGTGCCATGCTTGAAATGTTTACTTTACATGAGGGCGTATGTAAGTGGAAAAATAGACAGTTCGAATTGCCCGAAAGCTCTCCGGAAAAGTTCCGCGATCTAGATCCCCTTCCTTGGACTACTCCGAGCAACGGTGATCCTCCTGGACCAGCACACCAAGATCTTTTTCGAGAGAACAGTGTTGCAGATCCTGGTCCTGCAGCTTATATGTGTGAACCATTCGGTGTCCGTAAATAAAGCACTCCACATTTAGCCAAATTAAATAAAAAGCGGTTTTGGACCGACCATCCATAAATCTTGTCAACTTCGTTTTGAAGCTGGGTACGGTCTTCTGAAGCTCTGATCACTCGCCAAACTTTGTTGTCATCGGCTTAGAGTAAACAGTTTGTCTTTCTTTAGCTCACTAGATCGTTTATGAAGACAAAGAGTAGACGGGGCCCAAGTAGCGAACACTGCGGCGCACCGCATTCGAGGTGAATTGAGTCTGACGGATTCACATACCTTCAGACGCCTGTGCGAGAGAAGGTTGCAGATTCACCCGAGGAGAGGGTCCCCAGTGCCACATCCTTGAAGTTTGGCGAGAAGGATACGATGGTCCAACCGGTCGAATGACTTAAAGAAGTCAAAGTAAGCCATATCAACTCCTGCACCAGCATCCACCGTTTCGGTCCAGCTGTCTTGTGCTAACAATAGGTTGCATGTGCATGACCGATTCTGGCGGAAGCCATGATGTTGCTGAGCAGTGTGATCAGAACTGTCTAGATGAAAGCGTCTGTAATGATAGCCACCATAATATTTGAAAGAACTGGTCGATAATTAGCTGGGTCGGAACAATCCCTTTGTAAATTGGAGCTATTATACCATGTTTCCATATTGCACGAACGCGCTCCTCATCAAAGAAATACTGGAACAGCCGCGCTAAGGGTTCAAACAAAGCGTTAACCGCCACAAAAAGCGTCTTTGGGCGGATGTTGACGATTCCGGGACAGGCGCATCACGGTGCCTACCGTAAAATTCACACGAGTGAGTCTTAGTGGAAGCACAATAGTTCCCAAAAGTTCAGCAACTAAGGAATGTAATGAAACGTTGGTGCATATTGTTGTTGTAGTACATTCGACCCTTCTTTAGCAGTCCGAATTAGGCCATCCGGTGTTTGAAGAGGGGGAAATCCACTTTCCACCTGTTCACGTGCTTATACAGAAGCTCAGGATTTGAATTGAATCGCTCTGCTAAAGAATGCTGATAAGTTACTTTGTCCTCGCGCACTAATTGGGTACACTGGTTACAGTGGACAACATAGGCCTTCCAGGTACTCGGATTTGTGGGTATACCACGCCGCGTCACGCATCACCATACAGTTGGGTGTCCTACTCCGTATAAACGACGCCATGTTTCTCGTACTGATAGTCTTGGTTTACAATGCTCCACTAACCAACGTCGCAACGAGACTGGACCTTAACGTGGTGCGACGGTTTGCGTACCTCATTGACCCGTTGAGCTATACTGGGTGATGCCTCCGAGCATCTTGAGAGCTACTCCTACCAGGTTGGTCAATGGTGAGAGGTCAGACAAACTCAGTCTCCTGGTCCTCCAGGTTGGGGGTTTGAAATGGGATGGCGTCCATTTCTGTAAAACTAAATCACTGCCACCTCCCCACTGCCTTGCGGACAGGCTTTTGAGCCAAAGGCTTTGGATGAGGACCCTAATCGTTCTCCTGTCTAGGTCTGGGCGCCCTGGCAGTATCCCAGCCCACATACAACCATGACATTTTCTTCAAACATTAACTTCATCCTGCATCGGCCGTCGCGCAGATTATCAAGGGTCGCCTTATCTGCTGCATACAGCAGGGCAGATAAGCGAAAACATGCTACTGCTGGCGCCTCCCTTCTTTCTTTTCCACCTTTTTCTCTTACTCCCATCCCGACCCCCATTACTAACCTTTCTTCTATAATTCCCAGCTTAATTGACAGCAACTGAAGTGCTACTGGAGTAGTACCGTCTGCAGCCACCATCTCACAGCACCTATCGGACGCCTATCGGCAAAAGTTCCTTATAAGGCCACGCTGTCCCGTTTCCATGGCGACATTCAACGTCCGCACTCTAAGACAAACAGGTCAGCAGGCTGCACTCGCACGCACCTTGGACACACTGGGTATTGATGTGTGTTGTGTGTCCGAAACTAGGATAAATGACCCTAACGGGGTTATTGAATTGACTGCACCCGGCTTATCCTCTCGTTATTGGTTGCACGCATCCGGAGACGCCGATGCGGCACTCACGGGTCAAGCTGGTGTAGGTATCATTCTCAGCTCCAAGGCTGAGTCATCGTTAGTTGATTGGATTCCGGTGAACAGCCGTTTATGTGCAGCCCGTTTGACGACATCAGCTAAGGTGAATTCGCGAAGTAAAACAAAACGCTGTTTGTTTGTGATTTCTGCTTATGCTCCCACCGACTGCAGCTCTAATGCAGTCAAGGACACTTTCTATCACGAACTGAACACGCTGCTACGCAGTGCTACTAGTTCAGATATTATAGTACTTGCAGGGGATATGAACGCACAAGTAGGGCGTCTGAGCTCCTCAGAAGCTCAGCTGGGTGGTAAGTATGGACTTAACGCCGAACGGACTG